TATATATATATATGTTGTTTTGCAAACTTCGTGGAAACGAACCATATATTGAACTGAAAAATAGATTACCGACACACACGAGACCAAATGTGCATTGACTTTGTAGGTGGTCATTCGTATATTAAAACGTGGCGACGTACGGGGTCATAAGGTCATCAGTCGCGACTTTGAAAGCGCTTTCGAGCACCATGGAGAGGGGCCACGATGCAACGATTAAGGCCGGCGACCCTTATAACACAATATTGAATTTTATCCCTCGCCTTCATGTGGCCAGAATACTGAGCGTGTTTGTCGCAAAAACATATACTCTCAGACAAAAGTATTACAAAATATTTCGATTTGTACAAATCCCTAACTAACGACGACTTTTTTAAGCCATCGATTCGTTATATGTCATAAATGCGTTTAGGCCTGTTGGATTATCCTTCCAATCGATAAAGATCGAATTTGAAAATGTTTAGAAATTGATCTGTCATAAACAGTACAAAGAGCTGTGAAACACTTAATTGCGTACTTATTATACTCACTGACCCTGCAAACAGTGTGCGCAGTACTTACATTATATCGTTATAGAGCTAATGGTGCCCGTAAAACAAGGAAGGGTGTTTGCCTTCTGATTGATTGATTGCCTGATGAAATAAAGCAGCCAGCTTCGCACGATGGTAGTTCCGCTAAAATAAAAAAATCCCTCCGACAAGTTAGTGTCATGTAACTATAAATAGAGGCAATCCCTCAAGGGACCACTCAGCCGGCATATTTCTTCCAACTCTCAGACTGAGGCCCGAGTAGCGCATTCTAATAGATTATTAATCAATACCCAGACAAAAGTAAATAGCCATATTGGTTGTTGCTGGTTGATTATCTTGATGCAGGTCATGCGGTGCATCTATGGACGCCGCTGAACGCTTGCGGCATTTACATTTATTTTCGATGTTACGGGTACATGTGCATATTTCAGAGGGGAGATAGTTTCCCCACATCTTCATCATAGGATTTGTTCTCTGGTTGTAGCATTGTACACGCGGGTGCACACTGCACGTAACACAGGTGTAACTATAATGTCGTTATTATGCGGTATATGTGCACATTGTTGCTATGAGCACCCCCAATTTAACTTAGATTTACGTAATCAGCGCTGACGCTGTCCGAGCTTAGGGCGAGCGGTCAGTACCACGGCATGGATTTTTTTAAATCAGAATATGCAAGAGTGCCGACTGCGATCACGGCAGTGTTTCTGCATTTTATACTGTTACCGCTTCCCAGATCTAATAACTAGTAGACTAACTGCAACGTGTGAACGGAAAGATGGACTTTAATGTTACTGGGATACCTAAACGTGAAACCTTTGAACAAAAGAAGCAGTGAGAAATACTTGTTAGGTTTCTTTTTTCCTTAAGTAGAACAGATTCGTGGACCGGATATTTAAATTTTGTTGATATCAAAATCCAGGTGGGTCTCTGTGGTAAACACCACCACCCGTCGTGCATTGGAAACCCTTAATTAAATTTAGTCAACTCTAAGCTTTCTTGCAAATTTAAGGTTCGCCTGTTCCACCTGCGACGGTGCCTTAATTTACTACGGTGTAGTCCTACTCCACTTTAGTTTTCTCGTACACGACGGTTTCGGTACACATCTCTGTACGAAGACGCATGTATCACACCTGCGATTCGATTGGCTATCTAAACTCTGGAAATGCCAGAAAGAAACATTTGAAACGACAATTTACTAAACCCTGAACGTATAGTTACTACCGATCTGGTAAAACGAGCACTTTCAAAGTGAATTTGTTAGGACAACACTTGTTTAATGTTAGAAAAGCGAGGGGCATTGAGGATAGATACTGAGCTCGCTTTATATAAGTTTAAAACCACTTGTATGCGACACTATTTTTGAGGAAACAACCTGAGATAATCTCCAAGTGTAAGCACATATAGTATAGCACATACAGTATAGGCACACAAATACGTTCATCTAATGTATTTTACGAATTATCACAAAACCTATTGATTAATTATAAAAATGGCCAAATTTGGAAGAAACAGAACACCGAGCCTACAGGGATGAGACTTCGAGCTCACTTGGGGATCAAGCTGGAAAGCTTATTTCCGTATTCTTCCATTTTCCAATTAACGAAGGAACTTTACATTAATATCTTATATATATATATATATATATATATATATATATATATATATCCTTACATTTAAGAGCTATATTATGTCCCAAATTGATTCCCACCTTAGCACAAGCAATACCGCCCGTTTGGAAACGCATAGATACAAAAAGGTTTTTTTCGAATCCCTCATTTTTCTGGTTGCGCAAAAGATGGGGGTGCTTTATCCTCTCACAAAACCATGTGTTAAAAGAACGTCGAAAGATAATATCGGGCCTCCACATAAGTTTCAAAACGGCAATACGGATTCACATGTATTCTACTTAAAATTGGAGAACGAAGAGGCTGTACAGGACAATTGACTTAAAGCAATCAGTTTTATTTTTTTTCCATTCTGCC